CAACATTAAAAAAAAAACACTACACGTTAACAAAAAAAAAAAAAAAAAAGAGACAAGTGCCACTAATTCGGTGTCCATGACAGTACACAAACACAACCAAATTGCACTTTTCAACAGCCTAGTAAAATGAATGCATACATCTCAGACAACTCACCCTTTCGCTTTGCTCCTCTCTTATTATTTACTCGGATGGTTGTGATAGATTTTGGCTTGCTCTCAGTTAAGAAATGTACAAAAGTGGAACCAGGGCAAAGCCAGCGTTGATGCACAATAGCCTTTTGGGCGGAATGTACTAAGATTCTCTTACGTCGGCACGGTAGCCCCCCACCCCCCTTTTGCTCGGACCAACAGCTTCCATCTCAAACCAGACGGACGGGAGTGAGGAGAGGATGTGAGCGAGAGGAAGAGTCACCTGTTGCTTTTCTTCTCCTGGACGCGGCCCCATCGTCCCGAGTCCGCGTTGGGGTCAGACTCCAGTCCGTGTGCGGGTAGTGATGGTCACGAGGGCCCCATGGTGGGCCCCCCGCAGGCGCTCGGCGGAGAACTGTGGCTCCCGACCACGCCGTTGCCTTTGTCGGAGGGTTTCTTGTCCTTCTGTTTCAGGTGAACCTTAGCGTGTCTCTTCCGCTCGTCGCTGCGGGCGAACTTGCGGCCGCAGAACTCGCAGGAGAAGGGCTTCTCGCCGGTGTGCGTGCGGATGTGCGTGGTCAGGTGGTCGCTGCGGCTGAAGGAGCGCATGCATATTCGGCACTGGAAGGGCTTGTGGCCCGTGTGGATGCGCAGGTGGCGCGTCAGCTCGTCCGAGCGCGAGAAGCGACGGTCGCAGTTCTCCGCCGGGCAGGCGTGCGGCCGTTCGTGGACGGGCGTTTTGCTGGGCCGGTTGGGGTACTTCCGCGGTCGGATGGGCTTGAGCGTCAGAGTCTGCGGGGGAGGGTGGTGAGAGGGGGCGTGCTGCTGCCCGCCGATGAAACCCGGGTGGATCTGTTGCTTGTCTTTGAACGCTCGGATGGTTTCCAGAGGAGTGATGGGCGGAGGGTTGACCCGGATGGGGTCCATAGTCTGAAAGGGCTTGTGCTCCATCACGCCGACTTCCCCCTGGTGATGGAAGAGGTTGTAGTCGGGGATCATGGAGAAAAGGCTGCCGTCCATGGAGGCTTTGGACGTGGAGTGATAGTCATTGGCGGGGTACGCCAGAGCCGTGCTGGTGGCGGGACTGTGGTGGAAGGACACCTGGTCCTGGTACAGCTCACCGCACGTGGAGTAGGCGGGCAGCGGCGGGCCGTAAACCTGCTCCATGTCCGAGTTCTGTCCTCCCATGCTGGCCGCCGAGGACGGCGTCTGGGCGCTCACCGTGCCGGGCGATGGAGAGACGCCCAGGATCCCCGCGCTGACCAGGCTGATGATGTTGTTGTCGGAGCACCAGCCCGAGCCGCCGATGCCGCCCGAGGGAGGCGTGTCAAAGGCGAACTTGCCCAAATAGGTGACGGTCTGCCCACTCCGGTTGGACTGGAAGCTGGACCCGTACTGAATCTCCGCACCGGCTTTCTCGCTTCCCATGCCGATATCCATGATATTGTCTAGGTTAGAGCAAAACAAAGAAAGAGGTCATCCGCATGGGTTCCTTCAGCATCACTCGGCGCACTCTGTAAAAAGTAACACTAATTCACGTCGCACGTTTTTTTGGAAGTCAAAGTGATAGTCCACCAAGTTTGTCCTAAATCAAAAAGAAGTTCGAGTTTCATACAGAAAGGCGACTGCCGTCCGAGCACTAAAGTCAAGTGAAGTGAATTGTGCATCGAAAGCCGCGGCGACTGTCCCTCTGCAATCCCACAAGCCCTCATAAATCACAACCTAAACACCCCCTTTGATCCAGCCATTGTGTCGCTCAGGAGGGCAGCCAAGCTCAGTGGTAACATCATCTGACTTCCTTAGGGAGGGCGGGAAGGGGGACACCTCCCGCACCATGCGTGCTCACTTATTTGACACACATCTGTACATAACAGAGGAGGAGTGAGGGACTTTTAAGCATTCGTGGGCTTCACGAGATTGGAACATGAATGTGCAATGAATTTGACACCTTGCATCTCAAAGATATGAGGCATTCATTTCACACACACACACACACACACACACACACACACGCACACACACGCACACACAAAATGCATGAATAGGATGCAATTTAATATCACACCTTGTAAATTACAGGAATTTGGCTAAAGGGAAAACCTTAAATGCTTGATCATGGCAAGCATATACTACCGAATGACCCTTGCTATTTTAAAAGCTGTTTTTTTATGCTGGATGCCTTATTTCACGGGCGACATTTATAAACAGCAATATGGATCATACGGTGCATTCCATTATATTTGGAAAAATAACGCATTAAGTGGGAATTAAGAGAACGCACCTGCTGTGTAAAAGCCGTTTTATAATTCTAAACTTTTTTGTAATTGTCTCATGTTTTATTCTTTTTTTTTTTAGGACAGACAAAAGGCACGTCTAACGTGTAAATAATTTGCCGTCACCTTTTAATTTAACATTAATTATACATAGGGTGTAGGCGTATGAGATATTTATACGCGAAACTGTGTGTGCGCGCGAATAAACGCATATATTTTTTCAAGACGTTGCTTTTATTTGTCAGCACAATTTAGGTGGGCGTAAATATTAAAATCTTGACGTGCATGGATTGTGTGCAGCGCGGAGATGAAGACGCGCACACAATTGTTGCAGACTGATTTCCTGCCAGCGTGCGCCAACTGCGACGGTTCACGGCCGCGGAATTAATAGGAAATAAACACGATCATCTGGATTAAGGTGGAAACGGGGCCTCGCGGTTCCGGTGCAAGAAAGCAGGTTTCGCGTGGGCCTTGCGTGCCGTCTTGTCGGGAGGAACGAGCGCGTCGAACGTCAGCGCTTGTGATTTGAGAAGTCGGTGTCGATAATAGCTTGATTTTAAATTGCGAATGAGCACTTATTTAAAAGTCATTCCAACGGTCACGTTTCCGTCGCATGCCATACATCGGCGGTGTGGGTCTTTGTGGGAATTTTCGCTTAAGTATTTACAAATCGTAATCACAGGAATGTGGTATTAAATATTGTCAAAGGTGGGGGGGGGGGTTAAATTATCTGTAATTGTATTTATTCCACAAGTCATAAATAAAAAAATACAGAATACATTTAAGTAGTAACGGAGTTCCACAGGTGCGCGCTGTTGCCGGGGGCCGGCGCGCCACTCGGGTCACACTCGAGCACCGAGCGGCGGAATGCGCGCGAGGAGCAGCGCGCTAACAGGTGCTCCGCCACAACTTCTCGCGCACTTCCTTCTCTCATTCAAAAAACTAATTCGGCTTCACTTAAAAAAAAAAAAAAGACAACATAATTGCAAGAAGATGAAACGGCACTTTGTTCTTACCCGTGTTCATCTGCGAGTAGTGGTTAATAGATTCCGTGTTCGTGAAAATGTTCATCGACGTGGGGACGTCCTCTTCGGGGTACAGGCTGTCGGGGATGTTGTTTATTAAACTGCTCATGGTAAGAGGAAGCTTCTCCGCCACTTTCCCGGTCATAGCACTGCGAGTCACTCCGGCATGGGTGAGAGGAGGGGGGACCGTCGTGCCCGTATATCCCCCTCCGGGAGTCAGTTGCGAGGAGTCGGGGTCCGGCGGCGGCAGCGGCTCCTGGTGCCTTTCGAAGTTTTTGTTGTCGTTTTGTTTATCTCCTTCCAGAGGCGTCGCCACTTCCGTGTGCCCCGGCGACTACTGTGTTATGACTCGGGACCGGCGTGGATACCTTTTGTGGGCTGCTTGTGGTTCCAGTGTGGACTGTGCAAAAAAATGAGTGGTGGCGGGTGTACTTGCTCTATTGGAGCTGGCTGGGAGACTTCAGTGTGGCGGCATTAATAGTGGGCTGGAACCTTGGCGTGACGTAGATGCCCATATAAGGACAGAGAGCTCGGCTCCCCAGGCTCCCCGCGCGTCAGACAACCCCGTGGAAACTGCAAGTGGAAGAAGGAAATGGCTTCGGGGGGGTAAGTGGGGCGGTGCGAATGGTTACTGTATCACAACGCCTCGCACTTCAGAAGTTGCGAGTTTGAATCCTGCGTGGAGATTGCATGTTGTCCGCGTGCTTACAAAAGGTTCATGGAAGACCACCAATGCTGAAATGTACTTAAATAAAATATATGCAATATTATTGCAGGGTGGTTGGTTAGCACATTGGCCTCACAGTGCAGAGGTTGTGGGTTTGATTATGACGCCAGCCTTCCTGTGTGGAGTTTGCATGTTCTCCCCGTGCCTGCGTGGGTTTTCTCCGAGTACTGTACTCCAGTTTTCTCCCACATTCCAAAAACATGCATGGCAGGTTACTGGAACACTCTAAATTGTCCCAAGGTGTGATTGTGAGCGCGAATGGTTGTTCGTCTATGTGTGCCCTGCGATTGGCTGGCAACCAGATCAGGGTGTACT